AAAAGAATGCCCGCCGCTATCTTATGATCGATGATCAACTTTATCGAATGTCACATCCTAGCAACGGTATGGGGCCCTATCTCCGGTGTCTCCGGTCTTTAGAAGCCGGCTATGTTCTTAGGAAAATCCATGAGGGAACATGTGGGAATCATCCTGGGACCAGAACCCACACACAGAAAGTCATTCGCCAGGGGTACTACTAGCCCACCATCTTAGCCAAGTCTAGACGACTCGTTTCCTTATGCAAGAAGTGTCAGTTCTACTCATCCATCCTGCGAGCAATAGCCACCGAGCTCACCCCTATTTTGAGGCCAATCCCATTTGCTCAGTGGGGTTTGGATTTGTTGGGTCCTCTCCCCTTAGCTTTGGGGCAGCGAAGATTTCTGATCATGGCGATCGCCTACTTCACAAAATGGATCAAAGATGAGCCCCTAGCTAAGATTGGTGAAAGGAATGTTACCAATTTTGTTTAGAGGCCCATCGGCTACCTTTTTGGTGTGCCTCTCTCCTTTGTGATAGATAACAACACTCAGTTTGATAGAGGAGGCTTCCGAAGCTTTTGTGAAGAGTGCAACATCTGCCTTAAGTTCTCTTCGGTCGCCCACCCTAATTGCAATGGACTAGCCGAAGCTGCTAACAAATGCATTCTCAATGCTCTAAAGAAGAAGGTGGACGAGGATGTTGGAAATGGGGTCGAAGAGCTACCAAGTATTTTGTGGCCTTACCACACGACTCACAAGAACTTTACAGGGGAAACCCCCTTCAAGCTAACCTATAGGGCCGGGGCGGTTACCCTAGTAGAAGTCAGCATACCAAAAATCCAACTACAACTCTTTGATGAGGATTTGAATTCAGAAGGGATTCGAGTCGGGCTCGACCTCCTAGACGAAGTTTGAGAAAAAGCGCTATGGTCCCGGTTATTAATCAGCAGCGGATCACTCGGTACTATAACAGCAAGGTCCGACCTAAGAGATTCAAAGTTAGTGACCTCGTCCTTCAAAAAGCTACTTTTACAAGGATACCAGGAGAGACAAGCGGGCTTCCAATTAGGAGGCCCCCTACACACTATTTGAGGAGTTGCAACTAGACACTTGTCGGCTAAGAGCCCCGAACGGGAGAATCCTACAGCACCCCTGGAATATTGAGCATCTCAAAAAATATTTTCAGTAATCTTGTACATAATTTCATTTATTATATAAAAATCCCTTTGAATCTGACTCTTATGTCGCGCTCTCATAGTACCAAATCTATGTAGGAACCCTAAGCCCTTGGTGCCTCCCCAGGATACCTAAGACACACTTGACATGCGGTTGGCTCCCACATTTAAATCTTGACCACCATAGCTGGACAAAAAGACCTAGGCATCCTCATTAAGACCTAGGCACCTAACCTCAAGTTTGTCATTCACTAAAAAGACCTAGGCATCCTTATTAAGACCTAGGCACCCAACCTCCGGGTTGTTATTTATCAAAAAGACCTAGGCATCCTCATTATGATCTAGGCACCCAAACTCCGGGTTGTTATTTGTCAAAAAGACCTAGGCGTCCTCATTAAGACCTAGGCACCCAACCTCCTGATTATCATTTGCTAAAAATACCTAGGCGTTCTCATTAAGATCTAGGTACCCAACCTTATGGTTGTCATTTGTCAAAAAGATCTATATGTTCTCATTAAGACCTAGGCACCTAACCTTCGGGTGTCATTTGTAGAAAAAAGGGACCTTGGTGTTTACACTAGATCAAGGCATCTCGCCGACAATAAAGGACTAGCCGCCCAACTAGCCCCACCAACACATGAGTCACCTCTACACAACTGACCCACTGTAACTAACTTAATCATCCTCTTGTTAGACCCTAGAGGGGGGGGGTGATTAGGGTCTTATGCTAATCTAATCCGATTATATGCCAATTAAAATTAATTAATAAGTTATCCTAGCAAGTATGAAATGCAACAAGATATGTAAGCTAGGATAAACAATATGAACAATGAGATGTATCCTATATGATGAATATATATATATGCAAGGATATATAAACTAACACAAGGGGTAAACAATCTAAACAAGATAGTGGATGATATAGATAATGAGCTAATGATAATGGCGATATAAGATATGAACATAAATATGAATGAACGCCAAAGCACACTCAAACAAGCAATATGATCACGGAGTTCGGACCTTCCGTCCTACGTCTCCGCTCCCCACTCCCGGGGAGAAATCCACTATCACAACCGGGTTTTCTACGCTCACCCGAATAATGTTTACACCTCACAGTATCGGTTTTCAACGCTCACCTATCAACGTCACTCCTCACAATTGGTTTTCTAGTTCACCGAAAACTTCACAACACACTCTCGGTTTTCTAGCTCACCGAAAACCTTACAACACTCACAATGTAACAACAAATAATTTGTTCTCTAATACAGGTGAGAACTCAATTAAACACAACTCAAGGTTACAATCTCTCACCACCCAACTATACTATGTATGAAAGATACAATAAGCTCAATGTGGGTGTGTGTAACAATGAGTGAAATCAAAATCAAACTAAACTCAATTAAAATCTAGCATATAGAAATTATAAACAAAATAATAAATAGCTAGAGATGAGTTTAGAGATTCTTCTCTGAATAACAAGATGGAGAGATGGAGATTGAAGCCCAAACAAGAAGATAATCTTCTCCACTTGTGAAAACCAAAACAGCTTTAAACCAAACCCTTAAACAAGCTTAAAACAAGCTTAAACCCCTTTTTAAAACCCTTGTTAAAAACTTCTTGACTAATTGAAAAAGAATCAGCAATAGGATATTTATACCCACTTGAAATCTCAGTCAAAAAACCCCAAGCCAAAAGACAAAAACAGCCCCAACAAACAGCTCAGGAAAATAGCTGTTGAAGTCCAACGGATCTATTGTCGGTCGACCGGAAATTATGTCGGTCGACCGATGGAGAGCAAAAACCGAAGAAACAGTTCTGGACCATCGTCGGTCGACCGGTTCGGTCGACTGATGGAGCTTTCGGTCGACCGACAGACTCTCTGTCGCCCAGTGATGAAAGATCAAATGATCGGTCGACCGGTTCGGTCGACCGAATACTGATACATAGAAAACAGGTTTTGAAGGCTGTATATCTGATTTTGAAACACTGTTTAAAAATATCAAATAAATTCCAAAAAATGTAAAACTTTAGGGAATGATTGTAGACATGATAATAAACATGCTACAGTGACTGGTTATCAGAAAGGACTTCCCAAAAGTAAGATATCATCATTTTGCAAGGAGGTCCAAAACAAGAAAATATAAACACATGAGTTTTGACATTTTAGCTAAACCATGCTTTGAAACAATACAAAATGATTTTATAGACTTAATAGAAGATGTAAACTATTGTTATGAAGTCTATAAATAATGAATATAGTATTTTATCAAAATACACATATAATACACTAAAACATGATTTCATGGAACTAAATAAAATTGATATTGATGAAATCATATAAATGTATTAAGTATGAAACAAAAATGTGTTTTCCAATTGTATTCAATTGTTTCATAGTAAAACTTGAAAACTATCAAACCAAAACATATATGTATATACATAACTATATATATACATGGAAACCAATAAATGTGTGTGTATAGATATTGAGGTTAGAGTATATAACACACATAATATAAAATCTAAAACTACATTACCCAAGCAATCTTGATCTTCAATTAAGCTTGACTTGGTACACTTGCGGATGAAGCTTGAACTTGATCTTTAACTTGAATTGTATAGGCTTCAACCCGATATTCCGCCAACCTCCTTTGGATATCATCGTTGAAGCGCAATCCATCCAACCTCCAACTACGTTGTTTGTCTACAATACATAGGAAAACACAAATACTAGACAAACAACATTAGTGGTAAATTGTTTGTTAAACATCATCAAAACAAGAAGGCCAACACCTCTCTATCAGAAGGAGTCTATAAACAAACAAAGCTAAACAAGGAGCAAGTGAAAGCACACAAGATGATATGGCAAAGTCCAAAATTTCATTCCATCTCCTAAAAGGTTACATCATCTACACCAGTATTTACAAAAAGAAAAGAAAAAAAATACAAGCTCTCATGTCTCTAGGCTAAGGTCAGGAATGAGACTTGGAAGATCCGCGTATGGAGTGGCAACAGCAAGAGCGACAGAAGGAAAAACAGGAGGGACCTCTCCATGGTCGCCCCCTGACTCATTATCATCACCCCCGTCATCCAAGGCCAGCATCACCCCCCCCTCCACTCACCTCAATTTCCTTCAAAAGATCAAGGCAATAGGAAACTTTAGGGGGGTAGAGGCTATCTGGTGTGGGTCGAGAGTCGGGAGGAAGCAACGAGGCCAAATAGTCGACGTCGGCCTTGCAAGACAAGGCCACCTCTATTTTTCCTAAGGGACCACGATGTCAATCGTTGACCACCTCCGCCTTGTGCTGCTTTGAGTCCAAGCAAGCGATTCAATCCTCCAAGTCCAGGATGATTGCTTTAGATGCCTAGTGGGCCAATTGCTCGCTTCAAGTTCTCGGCCGAAAGACAATCTGACCAAGTACTCTCCTGAGCTGCAACCTTGTGACGCCTCTCGAACTCGACCTCTCCCTCTAAGGAGGCAATGTGGCTGTCCCGTTTGGTGATCCCTTGTTAGAAATAGCTCACATCCTCCTTGAGCTTGGCCACTTTCCCGTAGAGCTTCTCGACAGCAATCGTCTGCTTGGCGTTGTGTGACCTATACCCTTGATGAGGTTGTCTCTCCCCTCCAGCTCCTGGTGTCATGTAGCTTCATTATGGTTCTGCTCAGCCTCCAGATCCACAATCTTCCTTCCTAGCTGACTTCTCCTGGGCCAATGCCTCCTCCGAGTCAATAGGGACATATGCATGTGAGAGAGTCGAGAAAACAACCCCTCTTCAAGCAAGCCCCTATAAGAAAATCGCCCTTAAGGGGTAGGCCGAGACTCGACATCTCTTATAGGAATGCCTCATCTGTGGGAAGGGAGAATCACTATAGCACTTGGATTTGAGCCATCGCTAACCCCAAGACTGAGCACCCCTTGTCTCCCTCTAGAACTTCCCTCTTAGGTGAACAGTCACCACGCCTTAGGGATGAACTTGTCTCCCTCTAGAACTTCCCTCCAAGGTGAACAGTCATCGGCCGGCACACCCATCAGCATGGCCCTAGCCTTCTCCCAAACTGGAGGGTCAAGCTAAGAGATCTAATGCTAGAAAGGCCAGCGGGAGCCACCCTCTCGCACCAAACCGGCACCACCTACCGAGGATTCCTCAGAGGACCAAAGGGGTGCCACTTCCTCTCCAACACCTCCCGACATCCCTGCAACCTTCTTACTCAACGTGTGGGATGGCTCAAGCAGAGGGCATTAGGTGATTTCCTCCTCGACCTTGCCCCTAGCCTTAGCATCCACAACTGCTTGGTCTTCCTCTGCAGGCCTAGAGGGGGAAGCATCGTCAATGATGACGACCACCGACTGTTAGGCAGGAGGGACGATTGGCTGCTGCCTTGCTGCCTGTTGGATATCATGTCCCTAAGATATAGTTTTGATGCTAACAATTTATTCACTATGTGTATTATTGCGCACTAACATATCAATGTAGATATCAACATCAAATAAGCTCAAGATATGTGGACAAAAGTGCAAGATGAGCTCAAAGCAACAAGAAGTAAAAAAGAAGTGCTTAAATATATACAATGTAAATTTTACATTTTCTTTACTTAGAATTATTTTACAAGCCTTGATCACTCACAACACATGCACACACATAGTGATTAGAACACACTAAAACATGCTTAGTGTGTGGTTAACAATAGAAATCCCCTATGTTAACCATTAGAGTTTATAGTTAATTAATGAGTCT